GAATAAGTAAATATATTAAATTATCTTTATCAAGCAAGATGCTATATAAATGATGAATGATGTTAAGGTTAATATCAAGCTTACATGACTTCAGATTCTATTGTGCCAGCTCATGAAGAAGGAAACATAGATTTGGAGGGGGGCTGGAGCGATAGCTCAGCGATCTAAGGGCATGCCTACCAAGTGTAAGGACCCGAGTTCCATCCCCAGAACCCAGGGTATACCATGCGGTGGTGCACGCCTATAATCAAAGGGCGGAGAAGGCTGACACAGGAGGATCACTACAATTCTGAAATGCATAGCAAGACCCTGTATCAAATAAATGTTTGTAACAGAATTGTAGGAAATAACTATAGATATCAACATGCCAAATAGTATTAATGACTCTTGAAATATACTAGGTAGTTTCTAGAGAATAGAAAATATGAAATTTAAAAGTATAACAGATTTCATATTAATAAGATATTATTGAACGAACTGCCATCTCACGTCACCATGCCTCACAGACTGACTGACCGACCAACTGATGGATGTCTGGCAGACAGACGGTTGAAGAGATGAACAGACACGGGCGGGCGTGGAGACCACAGAGGCGCCATGCAGGAGTGACTCTCATTGGAGCCACCAGCTATTACAGAAGCAGGATTTGAAGATTCTTTGGCAACTTGTGGACTATTTTAATGAATTCCTAAACCTTCCAACCTTTCCAGAGGCAATTAGATTTAATGTGGATTATGGAATTTTTGAAGTAGTTAATGATGCTCCACAACTTCTAGAAAAACAATTGAAAAAAAATTCTATAAAGCCAAAAACCTTGAGGTCTTATCTACAATTTTGTGAGGAAAACAAAGCAAGATGTTAAACTTGTAAAAATGAATGTCCACTGTAAAGATGAGACCAGTAATGTCAACTATGATATTATGTGTCTCAATTGTGAACAAGGGATTAAATGGATCAGAAAAGACTTCCATCATTTCTGGAGAGTGATTGCTATTTTGAATACGGGTGAGCCAAATTGATCTCATGAGTAAGATGGAGAATGTCAGATGTGACTTTCACAATTGGTAGAAATTTTTCTCCATGGGTCCTGGGGCAACCACTCCATCCACCACCTCCCACTGTCAAGAAGACAATCTTATTATGAAAAAGTTCTACATTTCTCTGGCGAAGCCTCCTACTCTCAAACAAGATTGGTCTTCACTAGCAAAGCAAAATCAGCAAATGATATCCACCTTTTCATTACCCTGTTGTATACCCCACAATAAAACTGAATCACCAGTTACTTCATCTGCTTCTCAGAATTTCATCATTGAAAATGGAGTTCACCCCAGCACAAAAAGGTGTTCATCTAAAACCACTAAATCAATTTCTAAATTGGAAGAATATGAAGGGTCTATACCTATAAAAGATACTCCACAAGTTCTTCTGAGAATATACCTCGAAAAGCAATGTGATGTGCCTGACAGAAGCCTGCCATTGGATTTTTCAACATGTGAAGAATTTTTAAGTTCCTATGCATTCTTTATTCTAGAAGCAGCCATTCAAAAAATTATTGGAAAGCCACTTAAAGAAAGTCCAGACTACATAAACTTCAATAATGTAGGACCAGCAGTGGTTGATGATCTTTTTTAAACTCTCCTTGAACCAATTCAAACCATAATGGGAACTCAGATGAGGCATTAGGAAAATAAATTAAATATAAAGAGGGTCAGCTTTGGACCTGAGAGCAGGACTGATAGGACAATTTCTCACAGAACTTACAGCATTAGCAATAGGAAAGAGTTTGAAATTTATTAAATTTCATGAAGGGCACCTTAGGAGAGAGGTATTGGTGGCTGTGGATGGATAGTGAAAGGTTAACCCTGGAAGACATCAAAAACATCTTGAGAAGATGAAAAAATGTCATCTAGTGAGTAGTGGATATCTTCATCTTGTAAAATTATTGTTTTTTTCATAAAGAATTACTGAATCCAGTTGTTGTTTTTTGGCAGAAATGGGAATTGAACTCAGGCCCTTGTGCTTGCCAGGCAAGCACTTATTCTACTGAGCCATCTTGCCGGCCCCTGAATCCAGTTATTGCAAGACAGATTCAATGTGTTGTGACTCTAAAAGGAGATTTATTGGGAAATGGGAACTTTGGGCAAGAAGTAAAAAAACATAGGGATCGGTGCCATTCCCACTGCAAAGAGTCTGTCATCCAAAAGAAGACCACAACTATCAACTGCTTTATTAACTCCTGTATTCCACCAGCTTTACAGATTGACATTCCAGTAGAACTGGCACAGAAGATTACTGACCATAGGAAGGAGTTAGGATCATGTGTATTTAGAGAAGTACAGATGACAATTTTGGGGGTTCTGTTTAAATTTTGGCCATATTTTTGTGAATTTAGGAAGAATCTGACTGGCGAAAAAAATATGGGTATTTTAGAGAGAAAAGTACAATAAGCAGAAAGACAAATTGTCAGTCATGGATGATGAAAAAATTTGGAATGTTGTACTCAAACAATATGGAAGTACTACAGGGTCTACTATACAAATGCCTGCCTTTGCCAGTGAATCCTGGTTAGGCCTGCAAGCATAAGGTTGACAGCCAACTTTGTGCTACTCAAAGTATATAGAAGCCTTAGAAGAAGAAAGAATTCTTCTTAAAATCCAAGAGGAACTGGAAAGAAAGTTATAGGCATACCATATTTTACACATTTTTAAGTCTTCTGGCTCAATTATGTCCTTGAAGAAAAATTTGTTTTTGTCCAAACCACCCAGAAATGGGAATGACACTTATGTCTATGTTTCTGTCCTGCTACCAATAGCTACAAGGAATTCTTTAACTCAAATTTAATGAACTGGAGCTCAAGCAGCTGATTTTGATGGTCTGCATTAGAGCAAGGCTAACATCCAAATCGTTTGACTTGTTTTGCTATCATAACATGATATTATTGAAAATTTATTGTAACATAACATACTTAATTACATTTGAAGATTATACTGATTTTAAAATGGCATACCACATAGGAATTGATAACAGGATATATCCCAGGTCTGACTAGCAGATTATAAAAATCATAGTAAAGGAAAAGTGAATGTAAAAGATTGGGCCAATGTATGGATAAGGCATGAAAGTAATTTTTCCTATCATCTAAATATCTCCTTAGGCATCTTAGAAAAACTGGAAATGAGAATGAGAAAGCAATAAAGATTATTTTGGCAATAGATTGTGACTCTTGGACATACGAGACCATATGAATACAAATTTAAAAACTTATAATTTAACTCTAATAGAAACATAGTGCCCAGACTTCCAGTAGGTAATATTGATACACTGTCAAGGAGATAGTGTGTAGATGTGACACTCTAGAGAAGATGATGCCTCCCAAGACAGCATCTTTGTCATCAGTGTAAGCCATTGGTTTTTTCTGTAAATCCTCAGATGAACTTTTCTGATCCCTAGAACACAGATAATCTACATGTTGATTCTTATCAACATGAAGAAATAAGTTTTTGGTAAAAAAAAAGTTCAAGATATACTGAATAAACTCCTACCTCTTTCAAAAGCAGATCCCACACAGGATTTCTATCTAGAACATATAAGGAATTTTAAAAATCACGGCCCCAAAATTCAAAGATCCAATCTAAAATTGGGCATCTGAGATGAATATATACTCTGAGATGAAAACATAAAAATGGCAATTAAATATATGAAAAAAATTTTTATCATCATTGATCATTTGAGAAATGGAAATTAAACCAATACTGAGATTCCATCTCATGCCAGAAAGAATGGCTGTCATTAATAAGTCAACTAATAACAAATGCTGGAGGAGCTGTGGGGTAAAAGGAACTTTCCTTCACTGTTGGTGGGAGTGTAGACTGATACAACCACTATGAAATCAATGTGGAGAGTCCTCAAAAGGCTAGGTTTGGAGGTCCCATTCAACTCAGCTAGTCCCCTGCTGAGTATTTTTCCAGAAGAACTGAAAACCTCATACCACAGCGATATATGTGCACCCATGTTTGTAGCAGTGCAATTTGTCATAGCTAAATCTTGGAAACAAGCCAAAGGCCCATCAAAATTTTAACCAAGTAACCAACTCCACAAGGGAGTATTACTTAGCTCTCAACAAGATAAACTCAAGGTTTTTATAGGTAAATGGATGCAACTCGAGACCATACTCATAAGTGAAATCAAACTGCATGTGCAAACCTCATATTGTCTCAATAGTGTAAGAACATGAAAGAATAAATAAAATCTGAAGGTACAATATATACTGTCAAAGGTAAATAATTTGGTAATGGGAAGGAACAACTGGGATGAGTACAAGGACAGAAGAAAGAAGCAAGGGAATAGATATATAGATATAGATATAGATATAGATATAGATATAGATATATGCTTGAATAATTGTACTGCTGATTTTCTGCTGATCTATTGAAAGAAGCAGTTAATTTTTTCTTCTCCTTGTTAATTTCTTATAACTTTTTAAACCAATTTTGAATGCTTATATCTGGTAACCCAAGCAACTAATTTGAAGATACTATGCAATATAACAGCCATTGTTAAATTCCTGTTATTTTGTTTAGTGAAATTCTGTATATTTCTTTTTTTTTTGCCTTGTGCCTTCTCTTTGGATGGAGAATTTATTTAATAAGTAAAACATTTGTAAAACATACATATTCTCAGTTATGTGTGTCTTCTCAATGGTGAATGTTGAAGACAATAGTGTGAAAGCTTTCTCACAGATAACATGCATATGATTCCTCTCCTGCCTGTGTTCTCATATATCCACCATGGTGATTACATGGAAGTCTGTTCCACATGTGTCAACAATACGTGTTTTCTTGTGCATTTTTTCTAATTTTTAGTAAGGTGACATGATCAAGTAAAGGCCTTCCCTCATAGATGACATTCATAGTTTTTCACCTGTGTGTCTCCTCTCATGCCTAGTAAGGTGAGATGATTGAGTGAAGGCCTTCCCACATACATGGCATCCATATGGTTTCTCTCCTGTATGTGTTCTCTCATGGCAAATAAGAGAGGATGACTGAATGAAGGATTTTCTATATAGGTGACATTCATATAGTTTCTCTCCTGTGTGTGTCCTCTCATGGATAGTAAGGTGAGATAACTGAGTGAAGACCTTCCCACAGAGATGACATTCATATGGTTTTTCTCCTGTGTGTGTTCTCTCATGCCTTGTAAGGTGAGATAATTGAGCGAAGGCCTTCCCACATAGATGGCATTCATATGGTTTTTCTCCTGTATGTGTTCTCTTGTGGATAGTAAGGGAAGATAATTCACTGAAGGCCTTCCCACATAGATGGCATTCATGTGGCTTTTCTCCTGTGTGTGTTCTTTTACGGATTTTAAGGGTATTACAGTGAGTAAAAGCTTTTTGACACACATTACATTCATATGGTTTTGCTCCTGTGTGTGTTCTCATATGAATTTTAAGGTCACTAAAAATAGCAAAAGCTTTTCTACAGACATTACATTCATATGGTTTCTCTCTAATGTGTGTTCTCACATGACTAGTAAGGTGAGATACTTGAGTGAAGGATTTTCCACATAGATGACATTCATATGGTTTCTCTCCAGTGTGTGTTCTCTCATGCCTTCTAAGATCATACTTCTTAGTGAAGGCTTTCCCACATACAAAGCACTCAAATGGACTCTCCCCTGTGTGTATTCTCATATGAATTTTCAGGCTACTTAAATTTTTGTACATTTTCGCACATTGATGACATTTATGTTGTGGTTCACCTGTATGTGTTTTCTGACCCCAATAAAATTTAGAAGATTGATTGAAGTTTGTTCCCGACATACAGAATTCATTTCCAGATTCAGTTGTCTTGTGTCTTCTGGATGCAGACTGATAGTTGAAGGTTTTCCTACTCAGATTGCCTTCAAAATCTATCTGTTCACACTGTGAATTTTCTTTATTTCAGTTTGGTGGCGTTTGTCGGTATGAATGACCTTGGGCTTGATGGTGTTTATTTTCTTTCTTTTCATATGTCCAGTGGTTATCTGTCCCTCTTCATAAAAGCTGTTCTTTTTTTCTGGATTGTGCTTCTTGGGGAAAGCTGTTTGTTCTACCAGCCATTGATTTTCTGTTGCATCCATGTGAAGAACAAAATTTGATTTGCAGTATTTGCACCCCAGGGATTCCAGCCTCCTGATGGTTTCCAGCATCACAGCTCTGTAGAGCTTTCTCTGTGCTCTGTCCAGCAGAGCCCCTTCCTCTGGGGTGAATTTGATGGTCACATCTTCAGTGGTTATTGATTCCTCCCAGTGCACTGCCATTTGAAGTTTCCTGTAGATGTTCGCCCACAGGGTAATCAAGATATAAGAATGGAGATTTGTGGAGAGGATTTCCCACTACTGGAAAAATGGAGTTGTAAGCAGCAGTACATCAGTCACTCCCAGCTTTGCACTCCAAACACTCTAAATTGGTCACACATGGTTCAGTGGATCGCATGCACCTGATTTTGGTTACTGGTCGTTGTGTTGAGAAGGTCGTGCGTTCTGGCCACATTGAGCACCAACTGTTGTGAGCACTTTTTGGTCGTTGTCTCGGTCCAAGAAATTTATATTTGTAATCCCAAAGATGCCTTTTTGGAATCCCACCAATTTAATTCCATCCTACCACTCCTGGTGCAACCCAAGGTCTGTATCATTTCTAATGGGATTTTTTTTACTATTTTTTATTCTCTGTAAAAAATAAAAAGCAGTAAAAATTTTAAAAACAAGACCCCAGGTGGAAATGGATATTCTCGCCTAACTGTGAAAAGTCTAAATCTATGATCATGTAGTGCAAATTCTTTATATAATTCATAAGTATCACATATATTTGGGGAAAAAAGCAACTAACTAAGAACCAAATACCAAAATATAGTTTTAGATGGTTATTTTATCAAAGTCATCTTCCTTTGGTTGAAAATATTTTAAACCTTTTTTTTTGAGACTGGGTGTCACTATGTAATTCAAGCTGTCATAAATTTATGGTGATCCTCCTGCCTCAGCCTTCAAAGTGTTAGAATTACAGGCATGGACCATAAGCCCTTTTAAGTGTAACATTTACTTATCAAATTCAGTGTCCAGTGAACATATATTCATCCAATACCAAGCCTTATCTCTTTGGAAAATTTCCAGTTGCATTCAGGATGTGGATGCTTCCAGATAAAACTTTGTGAGCTCACAGAGTGAAATGCCAGAGGAAGGTGTGGTCTGTCTACTGCATTAAGCTAATTATACTGATACTGGAAGGATAACTAACTACTAACATGAAAAGGTAGAATATTTTTCATTTGTAGAAACAGAATTTCCCAAGCACAATGTGATTTTAAAATGTCCAGACCTAGAAGAAGCTATTTTCTTCATGAACTCTCAGTTTTTCCTCAAAACTCAAAATGTGTCTGATGTAACATTTGTATTTCAAATAACAGGATTTTTTACTCACAAAAGACAAACTTAAAATAGGCAAGTATTCCTAAGTGCTGGCAAGTGTTATAATACCTACACAATCCTCTCAGGCTGGTTTCAAATACAAGACAGAAAGATGCAACTTATTAACTGATGCATGAACAGATGATAAATAACTTCGTGATCCAAAAAAAATCTAGGAAATGTGCATCATAAATAATATACTTGCATTCCAAACAGATTCTGATAGAACATATTCTATAAATTAGAAATACATATCTCCAAATCCTTTAAATTTAATTTTCTGTGAAATTCTAAATACCGAGAGAAAAATATTTGCATGTAATATTAAATTCTCAAATTTTTTCTAAGGGATCTTGTTTTTGTAATACAGGGGATTGAACATAAGGTCACACCAAGCACTCTACCATTGATCTATATGCCTAACCCCCTACATTGTATTTTGAGATAGAGTAGCACAAAGTTGCCAGAAGCTGTCCTTAAACATGAGATGCTCGTGCCTCAGACTACTAAGGAGCTGCAATTACAGAAATGTGGTACCACAGTGGCTGCTGAAATGTTTTCAATACTTCCAGTTCCTATCACTCATGCAGAGCTTAAACTATGAAAAAACCAAGAGATAAAAGTAAGACAAAAACACTTAAGAAAATATCCAAACTGCAATATTTTTATCTCCAGTTCATCCCCGATATTTCATGATAAAACAATAATATAAAGTAAAGGCAGAGCTATGAATCTCATGATAAACAAATATCAAGAAAAATAAATTAAAATTTCTAGAATTGATGGGGAAAAAAAAACCTAAGAGACCTACCTTTCCTAGATATTCTGATTCTGAGGACTGTTGTCTTTCTTCTGTGGTGTCTGGGCCTTGAGGTAGGCTAGGGCTGAACGCCATGAGGTCCATCTTGGGCGCGCCCTCCCCAGAGCACACTCTCTGCCTCCTTTGCTGCGAGTATGACCAGCTCCCAACTGCACTCGAGCACACTAGTGTGGGCTTCCCGGGCCCACTCGCGCCTGCACTGGACACCAATGAGCAACGCAGCGCCGAGTACAACACAAGTGTGAGCACCAACAAGCTGGATACCGCGCAGATGGCGATGATCAGGTACACGTTGACATCTACCAGAGCCTCCTGCAGCCTAGAAGCCCCTGCAGAAGCCTGCGATGAAACCTTTGGTGCCTGACCGTTTTCCACCAAAGAAACCAACACGGTGGCGGTAGCCGTCAGCACAGGCTCCCCGTGGTCTTTCACAAGCAACAGCAGGCGCTGGTGTGGCTCATCCTCCTCATCCAGGGCGCGGGTCGTGCTGATCTCGCCTGTATACAGACCCACTCGAAATGGGTTACGTGCGCCACCTTCAGCCGGCTGTAGCTCATAAGACAGCCACGCGTTGTAGCCAGAGTCTGCGTCCACTGCACGCAACTTCGTCACCACGTGGCCAGCACCCACTGACCGCGACACCAGCTCACTCACCACGTTGCTTGCACCACCTGCCCCAAGGCCCAGCAGCACAGGAGCATTGTCATTCTCATCCAGCACAAACACCTGCAGAGTCACATTGCTCCCCAGGGAAGGCACTCCAGAATCCCGCGCACTCACCTGGAACTGCAGCAGCTCCAGCTCCTCGTGGTCCAGCGGCTGCAGCGCGAACACCTTGCCGCTCTCCGCGTGCACAGACACGTAGCTCGACAGCGCGCGCTCGCCCACGCGCCGCTCCACCAGCGAGTAGGACACCAGCGCGTTCTCCTGCGCGTCCGCGTCGCGCGCACACACCGTGAAGATGTGGGAGCCTGGCGGGTTGTTCTCCTTCACGAACACCGTGTACTCGGGTTGCGCGAACACAGGCGCGTTGTCATTCACGTCAGCCACCTCGACGGACACGGTGGCGGAGGCCGACAGCGGAGGAGAGCCCCCATCCCGTGCAGTCACCACCACTTCATAATCTGAAAAGATTTCACGGTCTAGGGTGCTGTCCAGCACCAGTGAATAATAATTCTTGAAGGTGGACACCAGTTTGAAGGGAATGTGAGGTGTCAAGGTACAAGTTACTTGTCCATTGATACCTGAGTCACGGTCAGACACTGAAATGAGGGCGATGACGGTGCCCAGTGGCGCATTCTCTTGGATAGGAAGTGAGAGAGACGTTATTGAGACTTCTGGTGTGTTATCATTTATATCCACAAGTTTTACTGAGATTTTACAGTGTCCTGACATTGATGGAGTTCCTCTATCAGATGCAATGACCTGAATCTCATAGGATTTCGTTTCTTCATAATCTAATTTCCCCCTAGTTCTGATTTCTCCAGAACTCGGATTTATTTTGAACTTCATGTGTACATTGGAGGAGGCATCGCTACTGAGTGAATACACAATCTCGCTGTTTGATCCTTCATCTGTGTCAGAAGCGTTCACTTTAATCACTAGGGTTCCATTTGTAGTGTTCTCAGACAACTGTACTTTGTAAACTGAGCGGTCAAAAGTCGGTTCATTGTCATTCACATCTAATACCTTAATAAGTATGCAAACAGTGCCTGTGAGCCCAGGTTTGCCTCCATCAGTAGCTACCAGTAACAGATTAATTTCAGCAGTATCCTCTCTATCCAGAGATTTCCCTTGTACAAGAAACAAAGATTGGCTTTGTTCATCATTTGTCTGTATGTCTAGAAAGAAAAACTCACTGGAGGTAAGCTTGTAGGAGAGAAGAGAATTTACTCCGATATCCGCGTCAGATGCTCCCTCTAAAGGAAATCTTGAGTCAAGCAGCCTAGATTCCGGAAACCGGATAGTCTTTACTGCCGTGGGAAACACCGGCGGGTTGTCGTTAATGTCCATCACCTCCACCTCCACGTGGAAAACCCGCAGCGGTCTGTCCACGACCACCTCCAGGTGGATGCTGCACTCCGCGCTCCGCCCGCACAGCTCCTCCCGGTCGATCCGAGAATTCACAAACAAAATGCCATTCTGCAGATTTACCTCCAGAAGGTCCCCGCGCTCCTTGGACGCCACCCGGAACAGGCGCGGCACCAGCTCCGCCAGCTCCAGCCCCAGGTCCTGCGCGATGCGGCCCACGAAGGTGCCGTGTTTGGCCTCCTCGGGGACCGAGTAGTGCAGCTGGCCGCTCCCCGCCTGCCAGGCTGCGAGGAACAGAAGCGAGAGCAACAGACGCTCCTTGACCCCTTGATCCCTTCTCGGAGAAGACACCATTACTAATCCTGAGTGAGTTGATCAAATTAAAAGATCATGTTTTGTAAAAATGTAAATAATCTAGTCTCTGTTCCAACCCTGCTGCTTCTCTTACTGCTCCGTTTACCTGGAGAAACAAAGAAGCTCTGGGTATTTTCCTTTCTAGGGAACACTCTTTGGTAGACAGCGACATCATGTGGCTAAAACATAGTTTCTTCTTTGGCATTTTAGCCATGTTTAAATGTATAGGTTATTGTGTTCGGTATGTTTAAATTGTTTTGAATTGTATCTTGTACAACTGAAACTCATCCATTAGACAGAATTTATCTTTCCTGAGATTTCTCCAAGATGATCACCATTCTAATTACATTTTCATAAATTTGACTACAATAGATATCTCATAAAAGTGAAATTGTGCATATGTGGTTTTTTTGTGACTAACTTTTTTGGTTTAGCATGATTTCCTGAGCTTTAACCCTTATTGTAGCACATGACAGAATGTCTTTCATTTTTAAGGATAAGTAACACTATTGTGCTCCATTTTATGCATTCATTCAGCTGTTCACGAACACTGCAGTTGTTTCTTCTTCTAGGCTATTGTAAATAGTGCTGGCAGAAACACAAGAGTGCACATTTGTCTTGAAGATCCTGTTTTCATTTCTTTTCGATACGTTGCCATGATTTTTTTTTCATCTTCCCAAAGAGGCACATAGGAATCAAGGAGTACTTTACTTCATTTAAAACCTATATAATACTGGCATATATTGTCATTATTTGAAACTTAACTTTTATTTTTAATTTGTTTTCATATGCATTCAAATTGATAACTTAGTTTCTCATTTGAATGATATGAATCAAGGTATAATTTTTCTATCATATTTATTTTATGCATGAATAATAAAAATGGTCGCTTGCTAATTACACTTTTAACTAATTGTTAATGAGTCTCTTCACATGAAAAATATGAAAACAGCATAAGGAAGCTGAATAAAATGAATACAGAAGGTCAATGTATAAAACCTATATGACAAGAGTTATTTTCAGTTACCCTATGAACATCTCAAATTTTGTTTAATCATCTTATAGCACACAGTAAAGCAAAATTACTTATAAATTTTAAACTGTCCATTAAAAATAAAAAGCTTGTGAAACAAAAGATAAGCTCTTCTGGCTCTGGAATTCGGTGATAACTTTTCCCTATTTCCAACATCTCAAGGTACTTACTCATACTGTCTGTGGATATAAACCTATTAATAATAGTTTAACAATGAATCCCAGGTAAACTAACTTAAGAAAAAAGTAGATCATCATTTATTGTCTTATACTTGAAAATAGCTATTTTTTTTTACTGGTTTCAAGCAGAGCTTGGGACACCACTACTCAAAAATATCACCAAAAAATACCTGCACATTTCTGTTTGTTTTCCTTTGTTGGCCTGCTTGTGTACTTTACTGTGTGTGAGAAAATGGCCAAAGTACCTTTCAGTCTTCATGCTACCAGTTTTAGGACTCTCAGAATAAAGTGTATTTTTTCTTCATAGTTTCACACACACATACACACACACACATACACACACACACACACACACACACACACACACACAAAACCAACTATACATCATTTCCTACGGACCAGTTTAAATAATGCTATTTTTCCTCTAGTAAATAAGTCTGATAGATCTCTCATTAGCCAGACATGAGTAATTTGTTCATTCCTGAAGCCAGGAGATGAAATTAGCCCCATCTAAATTATGTAGACTAGGCTGGCCCAATAGCTCAGCAGACTAAAGCACCTACAAGCAGGCTCAGGGGACGGGGATTCAATCCCCAGGCCTGCCATGCTGGTTCCCCCCGCCCCCGGGGCATGGTGCTGAGACAGCAATTGAGACTGGGCTTGGTGGCCTGCACCTGTAATCCCAGCTTTAAGAGGCTGTAAACAGGTGGATCACTATGAGTTTGATCTAGTAGTGAGACCTTGAACACCTGGTAACCCTTCCCTAAAAATTAAAAAAAGAAATAAACAAATTATGTAAACTAAAATTGGGAGTTACTTCTTCTAAAGGCCATGGAATGTGCCTGAATTATTCTGGAGCTTAAAATAATTGAACATAATGTCTGACTATCCATCAGAAAACATGGTTACACTGCAATTCCATGTGTGTAATTTCCAATATACTATAATTGACACATTAAGGAATTATGCCTAAGACATAGATGTTAGGTCCAAGAATCATCACTTGCTTTCATCAGTTTTTAACGAATATAAAAAGCAATTATGGGGGCTGGGGAGATGGCTCAGTGGAATAAGAGCTTGCCTGTCAAGCGCAAGGGCCTGAGTTCAATCCCTGGTTCTGCCAAAAAAAAAATAAAAAATAAAAAGCAATTATGCCAGAATTCTATAGTAACACTTCTAGAGGTATAATAGACATGTGAGCTATTACTTGGGAGTTTTGAGGACCTAGAATAGCTCTTTGCCTCCCCTATACAGCTACCATACCATTGCCAAACATGCAAGCACATTTCCTCCAATAGAGAAAAAAGAGTTCAAAGCCATACTCAGCCAATAACATGTCTCCTGAGCCTTAGCCTCACTGTCTTTACATCTCTTGATATCTGTAGTGGATTGAATAGAACTCCAAAAATGAAACTCAGGATGCAATCTTATTTGTAATAAAAGCTTTTGCAGATATAACTAAGACAAAGACATTAATATGAGAACATACTAGATTAGGGTTGGCCATAAATCCAGTAACAATTGTCTTCTTGTAAGAGATAGAAAAAAAAGACACTGTGGCATAAAAAGAAAATATGAACAAAAAGATAGAAATTTGACTTATTTGGCAAAGTCAAAATATGTGAAGAGTTAGCAGAAGCTGGAAGAAACAGCTGCTTGGGTATTTAGAGGAAATGTGCCCAAGCAGTATATTGACTTTTGGACTGCTGGCCTCTAGAACTCTGAAAGGATAAATTTATGTTCTTTCTGGGCACTGTGTTTGTGATAATTTACTACAACAACCCCAGGAAATTAATACAGTATCCACTGCTGCATTCATCAATGGACACTAATTTCTATAATGCTTATAAGTCCAAGCATTTCTTCTTGAAAAATCTTAGCCCAGTTCATCACAAAACTAGTACAAATATCCTAAAGAAAAAGACAAGTAGGGGAAATGGATGCTAAGCAAGAAAAAAGAAGTGGTACCAATGACATTTTAAATTATTTCTGTCTTACTACCTCATACATAAGAAAAAAAATTCCAATAGCTTCTCCAAAGATTCCAAGATATGTACTCTGCTTCACAGTCAGATGCTTTGGTTAAAATGCCAAAAACAATGCTCTTCTACCTGTTGTATTATCCATAGTAATACTATTCACAAAATACATTCTTCTCACATTAGTGCATGTCTAACAATCAATACATTGTTGTACATTCATTCTTTCATTGTTTCCTGTAAAATAAAGTTTTATTTCTTGCTCCTGCAAAGTTCTCTATGGTTACGAGAGACTTCCAAAGTCAGATTTTGTCTACATGTTGCTCATCACCCCACATTTCTTTGATTTTGGCATCTTAGTCTCAAACTGTGCTTCTGATGCTCCAGGAAAAGATAGCATAGGGATTTTGCACTGGTCATCACATAATTCTGCTTGTATATTCATATGTCACAGCCAGAGAAGTCACATGACCATACCACCTCATGGCAAAACAAAAGTGAAATCTTCTAATGTTTGCAGAAGGAAACAGAAATACTGAAGTAGCTATCAAGATGAACAACTATTTCTTTTTATCCTCATCTTACTGTCTTAAGGGTCCCTCAAATGACATCTTACATTGCTAATTACAATTTTACATCAGAATATAGAAACATAACTCTAATCTTTTAAAATATATTTTTTAAAAATAATTAAGATGTGTTAGGTACCTGTACCAAATCCCCATGAGGTATGTAAATCATTATGTTCTGCAAAAACATACTAATAAAAATAGAAATAGAAAAACAAATAAAAGTTTGTATACTGCACTCATATAAATTATTTTTAAAATAGCAAAATACAAAGATATTTTCTGAAAAGAAGGGAGCATGTGAAGAAATAAAACCTGAAGATTTTTCCCTTTTATTTCAGCTATTATAAAAGCACTTTCCTAAAAATTAAATTCCATTGGTATCAGACTAAGATAACATGAAAATAAAGTTACAGTTTTTGAAATTATGATCATGAAATCAAAACTAGTTATTTAAATAAATAACTCAACTTAATACTTTATGTTGGGGCCAGGGAGATGGCTCAGTAGAATAAGTGCTTCCCTGGCAAGCGCAAGGGCCTGAGTTCAATACCTGGTTTCCCCCCCCCAAAAAAAAAAACTTTATGTTTAATCAATTCTTGACTAAATTCAATTATAGTTTTTACTTCCACTAAGACATTTAAAAGCTGTAAGATAAAAATACGAACATAGCACTGTTATGCTAAGTATACGTACCACAATGTTCTTTGCCTACTGTTCTTTTTTTATTTGTTATATTCTTTTTTTATTTATTTTACTTTTTTGTGGTACCAGGGATTGAACTCAGGACCCTGTGCTTGCCAGGCAAGCACTTATTGTACTGAGCTATCTCCAACCCTCTTTTTTTATTTTTAAAAAGATAAAAATAGTTTTTAAAAAGAATTAGAAACAATATAGAATTTCACTAAACAAAATGATAGGAATTCAATAATGGTTGTCACATTGCATATTGTTGTTGTCAAATTATTAAAACATATTATAAAAATTAAAAAGGAGAGAGAAAGAAATTAAAGCATCAACTGCTTACAACAAACCAGCACAAATAAACAGCACAATTATCCAAGCTATCCTGTGTATATACAAATATGTTTCTCTTTCCCTTCTTTCTTTCTCTTCTCTTTTCCCTCACCCCAGTTGCTCCTAAACAGTTTTCTTCCCTTTCATAGTATCTATTATATGTTTCAGATTTTTTTTTTTACACTTTCAGGTTCTTACACTAGGGAAACAATATAATGTTTACACCTGCAGGTCTGATTTATTTCACTTATGAATATGATCCCTAGTTGTATCCAATAGGTAAAAGGCTGAAACTACTTTTCAGATAGACAAGATGATAACTTTAATAGAAATTTAAGATGAATCAAAATCAGTCTGATTGAACAATAATGGTGGCAATCTTAAAAGCTCTCAAAGTTTATATCATTACCTTTCAAATAATGTTGCTTTAAAATCAGTACCTTTCCTACTGGACTCTTTTAGAATATTTTGCTGAGTTTACACACCTATAATATTCAACAACGGAACTTAAAAAAATTGGGGTATAACTATGAATGTCCATTTTGTATCTGTGTATTCAAAGTGGTTGGGATAGATATATAGTTGCATTCTCTTAAT